GCACCAATGAGAAAAACAACAAAGCTGTGTGAAGGATGATCCACGGTCAGATTAAACAGAGTACGAAAGACCAGATAACGAATAAAGGATTAGAATAAACGATGTTCAACAGAGAGTGGAATATACCAGTGATAAATAGTATAAAGTTAAACACAAGGGAAACAGTGACAAAGGATAAGTAAGAAGGGATTTAACGGAAGGCACCTTTTGAACTGTGTTTGCATATTGTTCTTCTGTTTGAAATTAGTTGTTTTGGCAGGGTGCTTCTCTACTGTGCGGTACATTGAACTCGTCATAATTAAAATCCTATCCACTTTTCTTCCATTGATGAACTTGAAAAAAGTAAGAAGAACAAGTTGATTAGGACAGCATGAACTTCAATTATCTTACTTTTATGAGTGTTCATCCCCAGGATTTCATATGGAACACATGGATTCAGAACCACTCTGTTTTCTAATGCCATTCTAAGCTGGTTCCGTGACTGTCCACAGGCTCTCATTTACTTAATATATGATCTCCTGCTGGTGGCACTCGGGCTCCGAATTCTCTGCCTTCCATCCCGCTTCTACTCGGTGGTCTAGGGTGTGATATCACTCAATGGCCTCCTCAGAGTGCGTCGAATACATTTACATTTCTTACTGCATATTTTTTGACAGGTAGGTTCTTGGTGGGTTTGTTGACAGAGTTCCATGTTGCTTATCCTTTCTGGCTATCTGACCATCAATTCCGAATGAGAAGGATGGATGCTAACGAAAGTCTGCAGCCTGTTGGAAATGCTTCTGGTGTTCATCCACTAAAAAGTGGCTAGGGATAAAATTGCTAAAGAACTTAGTAACTTTCAGTCACAAGTTTCTTGGAATATGCTCACATATGTGGTCATAATTTTTTCTTTTTGTTCATCTGATATATGTGCTTCGCCATTTACATGTAAACTGATGTGTTCAGTTGAAAAAAAATTAACGAAATAAAATCGATCTGTTTTTGACATACTTTGGTAATCTTGAAAAATCCCAGGAATGTTAGTTTCCGTTGATCTCATAGTGATCTGTCCAGCTTTGAACTTATGTGTATCCAGTACGTATCAGGTAAATAATGTTCATCGTTGTGTCTTGATTCAACTGTATAATACTGTGGAATACGTAAAACTTTTAAGACAAATAATAATAGTGATTATGTTATCTCCCACCTTCCCATAGTTTACCTTCAAGATATATGTGGAAATGCTAATTACCAATAAGCAAAATGACGCTACTCTTTAGCAGACCGACAAGTGTTTACTCACAGGTATTAGATTGGCTTCACGGTTTGTTACTAACTGACATCAGTTGGAGAACCACTGACAGGCGAGTTTTACTGAAAACATCAAACCTTTTGATTACAACATTGCACTTAATAAAATAAATAGATTCATTGAACGAATGTTCAATAACAATAATTCCATCTATAACCGACTGGAGAATCGCTCAACAAACTTCTCATTTTCACAGTATCTTTTGTATAATTATTGCTACTGTTCTATTTTATTTCATGATGAAGTTTTGACACAAGTCAATAAACAGGTTATTAATTTTAATGCTATTAACTTTGAAAAATGAAATTTACGCTTTTTTCATTAAAATTTTCTTCCATATAAAAATGAAGATAATGTCTGTCTGTTTTTCCTGAAAATAACTAATTGTTTCAGTGACTTTTGAAATTTTTCGCTCTTTACTATGATTGACATTTTACAAGTGAATTATGATGTCGATGTAAACTAATTTCCTTCAAATCTTCCTATAAACCTGATGTTCTCTATAAGCAATGGGAGGCGATCTCGTCCAGAATAATGACCGCCAGATTCAACTCCAAAGGAAGGAAAGTGTCAATCATACAATGTTATGCACCCACAAACAACGCAGACCTCGAAAAGAAAGAAGAATTCTACAGACAACTACAGGCAACAATGGACAATACTCCAGCTGACGACATTAAAATACTAATGGAAGACATGAACGCCAAACTGGGACCAGACAACACAGGAAGGGAATTCATTATGGGTAGAGAAGCTCTCGGAGAAATGAATGAAAATGGAGAACTCTTCGCCGACTTCTGCGCCTTCAATGAACTAGTGATTGGTGGCAGCGTATACAAGCACAAAGATATCCACAAGGCTACATGGGTGTCACCAGATGGGCAAACCGAAAACCAAATTGACCTCATCTCAATCTCGAGGAAGTGGAAGCGCAGCCTACTGGACACAAAAGCAAGAACAGGAGCAGACGTTGGCTCAGACCACTGTCTCCTACAATGGACAATCCAAATCAAATTAAAAGCTTTCAGGGAAACAGGAGCTGCAGATAGACCACAAGCCAAGTTCAACACTCAAAAGCTGAAGGACCAGGCTACAAAGGACATCTTCATTGCAAACATAAGGACAAAGCCGAGACACAAATCAACACTAGCGAAGAGGTCGCGTCGAAAAGCACTGGGACAACTTGAAAACGGTGTGGAGTCAAACCTGCATGGAAGTTCTAGGCAGAAAGAAGAGGCAGGACAAACAGTGGCTCACTACGGACACTTGGAAACTAATAGAAGAGAGAAGGACAGTGAAACAAAAGATTATCCAGTGCACTGACGAGCAACAAAAACAGGAGCTGAATGCAAGCTACAATACACTGAACAAAAGAGTGAAGAAGAGTGCCAGGGAAGACAAAAGAAAATATTATGAAACCATGGCAAGTGAAGCAGAACAAGCTGCAATGGGCAAGGAGACCTCACCACACTCTACCAAACAACTAGGCACCTATCGGGCAAACGTTCGACACAGATTAGCCAGAAAAGGATGACAATGGAAAGTCAATCACCAAAGAGGTAAGCAAAGAAAACACTGGCTGAACACTTCAAAAGACTTCTAAATCGACCGCCACCTACAACGCGCCGCGAAAACGTTGGCGGAGAATCGAACGCAATGGTGACATGCGGCTGAAGCCCTATGCTCCTCTAGGAACTAGAGGAAAAAATAATAATTAATGTATCTGCTAATCTTGAAGATATTTATAAACTTCATAGAGTTCTTTTAATTTATTAATTTGTCTGCCATGAAGAAAAAGGGTGTAGCGATGGTAAAAAGACGCATCACTTATAGTCGTTCAGATCTCATCATGGTTTAATGTTGATTATTTTCAAATATACTAGAATTTCTGATACAAGCTGTTATGTACTGCTGCTGAGTGAGTTATTAGAGTTTTCCCCGTCGCCAATTATGTTATGTATTCGTCGAGTAGTTAATAGTCCTGACGCGGAAAATGGGAAATCAGAAGACCACCAGGTTTAAGATGATACTTGTATTTTCCAGACAAGGAAAATGAATGTCACACAAGAGTGTGGGTGAATGGGTACTTAGATGTACGAAAACGTGGGAACAAGAATATAATACAAAAGTATATATGAAAATGGCTAATACACATGAACCAATAAATAGACAGTCTTAACATGATTGGTTGTAATGTCATATGATAACAAGGTCATGCATGTTTATTTAGTTAGTAGACAGACAAAAGCATATTGTCAGTTATAATGAAATATCGATCCATATGCACATGGCAAAATATAACAGACTGTCAAAAACAAAACACACATCATGTGGATACATATCACAAGCCAAAGTGAATTCTATATGGACAAATATATTAACAATCGCAGTATATGTTAGCCTACTTTCTTACATCACAAAAGAATAAACTACTCTTTATCAGTTTAACAGTGTTTAGGGAGGAATATACTTAGCAGTTCAGTAGGCATTTAATTTTTCTTAGTCTGTTTGCCAAAAGTAAAGTTAAAATAAGTGAAATAACGAATTTTTAAAATTTAAGTAGACATACTTGACACTTTTTTCCATTCTGTGAGACATAGGGCTTCAAGCTTTGACGTTTCAGTAATGGTTGTGCTGTTTTTACAGCCTCATGCCCAACCTTCACTCTTACCCCGGTTTACTACTGTCTAGTAAATCAGGAGAAGTGTTTATTTGTTAGAATACGATATATTCTTTTTCTTTCATTTTTTTTCCTTCACGTTCCCCAGTGGAACGTAGGGCTTCAAGCTAGGGGCTTGAAGTTTCTGTAGCAGTGTTTATTTTACAAGATGAGATTGCCCAACCATTCCTCTTTACCAGCATTATTTCTGGCTTAGCGAGGTAAAGGGGTGCGTCGACCAGGGATCGAACCTTGAACCATGTTCATGGTCGGTGAGCGTTCTAACGACTATGCCACAGACGCACAGAACAAGATATATAGCCGAACAATATTGTTTTCAATTCGATCTTCTTCGGGCTTCACTCTAATTTACATAGATTTATATATAAAAATTTTGACCAATGATGATGTGTTTTATGTAGATATAAATCTATGTAAATTAGAGTGAAGCCTCAAGAAGATCTAATTGAAAACAATATTCTTCGTCTATATGTCTTGTTCTAATAATAATAATGGGAAGATTTATTTATTTTTTAGCCAAATCTGAACAAGCAAAAAATATCAACAACAAAGCCAAAACCACTTCGTATTAGCTCATCACCTCATGACTGACGCATAGTGGAAGCACCTTCTGCTAGAGCGGAAGAATAAGTGTCAAGTTAAAAATTAAGGTCAAACACTTATTTGAAATACCTTCCGTAACATTTTGAGCAGATAATAATTACACACGTAGCCTTTTATACTACATCATTCTTGAAATTGTGGTCAACGGTCACTACAACAGTGAGACGGTGTAATCTGTCTGTTTAAATACGAGTTAGCACATGATGTTCTAGTCTACGGTAACTTTTAATCAAGAGCTTACTAGAAATTTACTAAATGATGATATTTTACATGATTTAAGTGTGTTTATTAAGCAGTGATACGACAGCTCAGACAAATATTTGATATTTTACTTTTTCATTTCATACCTGAATGAATCCACATTTCAATACCTGATGCCTTTGCTACAATCTATATTATCCCTATATGTTTTCGATTTCCTCACAGCACCAACTTGTTATTGTTCACTAAATCTTGAACAGCCTAAGAATGCAATAACTACAAAAAGTCCTGAATTGCTACCCTCTGAACGAGACGACTTAACATTGAAAGTGTTAGCTTATCGTAGACGAAGTGGGACTTTACCACCTTGTACCAATCATATAAATAATGGTGAAAACGACGATGAAGTTGGTGTTATTCCAGTCAATTTTCCAAATAAATTAAATTCTGCAAAGTCCTCAGGTGATCTTTTAAAGGTTGTTGATACAAAATGTTGTTTAAAATTCAGTGTGGAACAACAACACCAACCTAAAAGTCGTCTCTCTGTTTCATGGTTGGATACGCATATGAATTGCAATAATGAACAAGAGAATATCTCAGCTGTTGCCAACCCTGTGTGTGATCCTACGAGTGGTTCTTCATGTAATGATGATGTCGATGGTCTTTTCAACAACATTAGTAAAACAACGAATGTTATCGATAATGACAATACTAGAGGTGAGTGTCAAACTGAGATGTCCCAGTCAACAGAAGGCACGATGATACTATTCAGTCCAGTTGATCCACTCGGTTATGCGCAGCTTATTCATACACAAACAGATGAACAGTTCACTTCACCACAAAATATTTATTCTAAATTCCCAACAAGTTTTGTTTAATCGATTTAAAAAAGAGACAGAAAGATTAAGGATTAAATGTTCAGATTTGAAGATAGGATTTAATTCAAAAGATCTGTTGCTGTTTCTTCTTCAATGAATTTGTACCATTTTTCATAAAAGTGACAGAAAAACTTTGATTTTCACCGTATAAGCCTTCAGAAATTATCGGTTGTTTAGCTCTCCTTTCTATTTGATTTGGTGCATTTTATGTTCGCTTTCTCCACCACTCTTCCTCTTTTTATGATTTATTAAAAGTGCCGATTAAAATAGTCTGGTAAATTCATTTAATATACAAAATCTGGATACATGAAAACAAAAAAGATATCAGACAATGAACAATGGAATGCAACTATCTACCACCTTGTACACACTTGCGTATATACACATATATGCATATTAAAAATTGAAATATAGCTATTCATCTATGTCTATTTATTTAAACAAATTTATTCAGTTGCTTTTGTTTTCTGTTTCCATAATATCTATTTTCAAGGTAAGTTTAGGTGCAGAATGCACTGCTCGCTGACGAATCTTGAACCTGAGGATCGAACAAGTGTTTAATGTTGACGAGCTCTCAATAATTTTGTAAACATCGAGGTCGACTCGTGACTCAGTCAACCAAAACGACCACAAAATTAATATTTCTGCTAATCATTTCAGCTACCTACTATATCATGTTTATGTTTTTAATTAATGAACTCAGAAGTGAGTACACTACGTATCGATTTATCTTGTGCTCCCTAACCGAAAAGATCATAATGCCTTTATTGTAACCTGAGAAAAGTATACATTTTCAACAAAAATGACTACTTGATCAAAGTAATATATCGTCATTGGAACTGGTGCAGTACTTTATTCTGTAATCACGATTTTCCAAGTCATCCGAAAGTGTTCATAGTAAATCACGTAGTTAATGGTGTCACAGCGTTAAAACTTGTGAATACTATTCATATTAGTTAGGAATTATGCCCAATATCTGGTCCCAGAAGAAGTGGAGAATAATTAGTACTTCAAGTAAAATTGCATTTGGCATCTAGAAGTATGCAAAATAAATGTTATTGGTTTTATTGCTTTTTATGGAAGCAGAAGTGTTTTTGAATTCCCTGATTTAGATCAACGATTGTTTGATGAAATTTACATTTGGTCATTACAATCTACTTAAATAAAGCCTTATTTTTGTCAAATATTCGAGAATCATACTGTAAATGCGTATTATGCCCCTGATACGTAAAATTAATTGTTTTCTAGACCATATAACATTTTATTATGTGAAAAAATAGCTTTAAGAACTGTTTGCATCTATTTAAGCGATACCAACTATCAAACAAATTGTGGAGGATTCTCGATGCACTTAGTTCACTGCTATCATAATAACATTATTTTTTGTGGGTGCATTTTTCAATTGTTCTCTTAGCTGTTCTTATCTGCCTTCCTCAATATATGAAATCTTAAGTTATAGAGTATTCACAAACTAGGTTCCTGAACAGAATCCATCAATGAAATGCCATTATCTATAAGATAATTTTTTGAAATTTTAAAGTTAACTTTCCTGAAAAATTGATGAATCATATTGCTGTATCCATTTAAAACAAAATGTTGGGTATTTACATATTTGATGAGGTGCCCATGGTCCTTTCTCGCCTTACACGCTTGTGATTACAGATAAGATTTGAATAAGAAGACAAATTTCGCGAGATGATATCATTTCGTAGTTTCTTTACAACCGCTTTACAACTAACATGGTTAACATGATAAAATAAAGTTCATGAAAATTACTCAGTTAAATAAAAAACAAAAGTGCATACTAATGACCAATCATATTTAGATAGGTCATGTAGTCCAGGGTAGGCGAAGATTGAAGTTTGTTGATTTTTGTATACACAGTTTAGGCTGTATGTGATTAATCCCCAAAGTGCTTCCATCACCTTCAATAACCTTGAATGAGAGTTATATATGTCCAAACCAAGTTCACTTTTAACGGTTTGAAAAAATTCGGGAATTGGGTATATGATATTCATTATAATAAAGGTTTCTGTAATTCCCAATGAATGAAAAACAAAACGATGTTGTTTTTACTGACGTTTCGCTATTTAATGCTAATAGCTTTCTCAAAGTATTATTAAACCGGAATTTACAAAATCTCAGCATATATATAACAAAGAGTTAGTTGGTGAGAAAAAATAGACTTAGATCAACTTAGTGCGCCGGTGGCACAGTGGTTGGGACTCTCGCCGACCATGCACATGGTCCGGGGTTCGAGCCCACGCCGACGCACACTTGATATCTATGGTCGGCCTGCGAATTCTGGGCTACCGATATCCACGCTGAAAATCACACATATGTGCCAAAAATACGGTGTGGAATCAAGCTGTAATCAAAAATAAAAAAATAAAAATAAATAAAATAAAAGGAAATATTGAAAGTCAAAATAACAATGAAGATCGCTCAAACCAAATATCAAAGGTAATAGTATATCTGATATTATATCAAAACAAAGTTTACTAACTTGATCATCGTTCGTTAGTCTGGGGTCATTTTTGGTTGTCAAATTGGAGAATTGGTAAAGATAACAAAACTAAGTGTAGATTGTGAAATACTTGATCATCGTTCGTCAGTCTGGGTCGTTTTTTGTTGTCAAGTTTGTGAATTGGTAAAGATAACAAAATCAAGTGTAGATTGTTGAATTTTATCAGTGTGTAGAATTATGAAAGTAGTGTGTGTTTACATAGTGAACTTGCTCATCACATTTGCGTTGAGTTACTACTTCATGGGGGAGGGGGGTGTTGTAGCCAGGTCAGATTCTGTTTTAGCCCAACATTCCTATTCAGGCAATTTGGATTCCACTTGATCTGAAATGCTTTTGATATTAGATGTTCTTTGTGGTTTCTGAAGTTTTTCTGGATTATTTCAATATTATCAAAATCAATTTTGTGGCCTAATTCTATAGCACGGCTGATGATTTTTGAAGTTTTTCCAGTTCAACTGGATTTCTTGGTGGTCCAAGAGATGCTCTACGGTGTCCATTTCTTCTGATTTTGATTTCTCCAGATGTTTGTCCTATGTAGATCACATCACATTCCGAGCATTTTATTTTATAGACACAATTAAATAGAGAGTCTTTCGGGATTTGGTCTTTTATATGGACAAGGTTCCTTTCAAGTGTGTCCGATGTTTTGAAAAAAAATCTAATGTCGAGCTGATTGAGTACTCTTCTGATATCGTTTGAAGTCTCTGCTGTATATGGAATGACGACTGTTGATGTCCATGTTTTCAGAATGCGTTTTCGGCCATGCAAAATGTCTGTGTTGATTTTGCTGATGAAGTTACATGGGTAGCTGTTTTGCTTGGGAGTTTCAGTAATCTTTGATACTTCTTCTCCTTTTTCTTCCTCATTAGGTATCACGGAGTGTGCTCGTCTAACAAGACTTGGAATTACTGAAATCTCTCCGCTGACAGGATGTGACGACTTAAAGTCTAAATCTTAACTGCAGTGGGTTTTCTTCCTGAATATGGATGTAACAAAATGTCCGTTTCACTTTCCCTTAACTAGGAGGCCTAGAAATAGTAGTTCATCAATGTTCATTTCATTTGCGATTATATCACAACCAACGGCATAAACTTACCTATTCCTGTAACTTACATAAAAGACATCATCTTAATGTGTACAGAAAATGTTAGATTCACATTCCAAAAAAAGCATACAAACAGATCGATGGTGTTGCGATGGGGAGCCCTCTGGGGCCCCTGTTAGCAGATATATTTATGTCGAAACTAGAGAAACAAATGCAAGGTATGCTTGGAGAATTTATGCTGTATAAACGTTGTGTAGACGATACTCTTATTACTGGTAATAATAGTAAATCTATTGAAAACTTTATTAACCTATCTAATCATATTCATCCAAATATTCGAGTGACTTCCGAACTAGAATCGAATAACAAACTCGGTTTCCTGGATATTACAATGACTAGGAGAGATGATGGAAAGATTCAGCGATCTATTCTTCGTAAACAGACATGGAGTGGACAATATCTTCATTTTATCAGTTTTGTTCCTGTCCAGTATAAACGTTCCATAGTGAAATGTTTGTTCTCAAGGACCCGAAAAATATGCACGAGTGACACATTGATGGTTGAGCTTCGAAATATACATTCAGTTTTATTAGCTAATGGTTATCCAGAAAACTTCATCAATTGCCACGGTAAGGATAGACTACATCTTGAAAAGACAACTTCTGTACCAAAGAAAGCTATCTTTATTAATGTACCATTCAATGGCGACCAGATTATGCAGTTGACAGCTCAAAGACTTCGGTCAGCCATCAAACGCACATTCTACGCCGCATCTCTTTTTCTCACTTGCCGAGCATTTTCGATCCCTGTTCCTACGATCAATGGACGAAATTCTGTGGACTCTACTTCAAACTGTATCTACAAGTTCACCTGTAGCTGCGGTGACACCCATATAGGTAGAACTAACAGAATGTTCCAATGTCGTCGAAAAGAACATGTTCCAAAATGGCTAGTAAATCATATCGAAAATCCTAACGGGATTAATCTTAGTAGAAATCCAGCATCATCTATTGCAAAACCCTTATTAATGTCTGGTCGCCTACCCTGGACTACATGACCTATCTAAATATGATTGGTCATTAGTATGCACTTTTGTTTTTTATTTAACTGAGTAATTTTCATGAACTTTATTTTATCATTGTTAACCACGTTAGTTGTAAAGCGGTTGTAAAAAAACTACGAAATGATATCATCTCGCGAAATGTGTCTTCTTAATGGCTTGTTCATATTATTTTAATAGTATTACATCGAGTTAAGCTTTGGTAGCAAATGAGGATAAGGCAAATATTTAACAAATATATTTGCACTACTTAACAACGCTAAGTAGTATAAGTTTTATACAAGCGGAGGAATTACGAGGATCAGGTGGTTAAGGAATTAACAAGTACGTTCTTCATTTTGTTAACGTTGTCTAGTCATCAGCATTTTTGTTAGTATGAGTTATAAGTAAATCCCTATTCTCTCCCAATTTTTTTTGACTGTTCTCGATGACTCATTGTTAGGTAACAGCGGACTTCTCTTTTTGTATTGAAGTATTGGCGATAGTATCTGGTGAGGGTTGATTTGAATTACCGTAATTCCTGGTCAGCTTTTGGGATTAGATAATCTGTTTGGCTGGCCGAATTCTCCGACTACGTACAAGTTTGAAGTGTTTTGAGGTCGAGGATGATAGGCCACAATTTTGAACCCTTGGCAAGGCTTCCTGCTGTAAACCAGAGGAAGATATTGAAATGAGGTGAACATAAAATTTGTGGGGTCATTAGGAAATTTGCTGTGAGGTTACAGCAGATTCCCACTGTATGTTGGCGACTGTACTGACGTATTCTGTGAGTCTGTGGTATCATTAGGGAGCACTTCGTCTACAGTTGAAGATCTTTGGAAATATTCCTTTGAGGTTCTAGAATTTATTCTCGAAAGGAGTCATCCTAGTTCACTGCATGATGTCTAAGTGAATTCGTATCATGATATATGCGATTCCGTCGCAGTGCCATCTAAAACCACTTAGGATATTCATGATTAAAGATACAATCATAGAAAAAGGTAATTTTCTGCTAGCTTGACAGAACCAAATAAACTTATTGAGTTCCCTGCCTGTCGAAGGATCGAGGTCTGTATACAAAGGAAGATTGTTCAACCAATGCTACAATTGTGGTTACAGCCTTGTTTCTGTCTGTTCGATTTGCAACACCTTACAATTCCTCTACTTCTTCCGAACGCTTACATAATATCACATTTCCCTTCATTTCCATGTGCAGAATGATTGCAACTCATT